GTCAGCACCCCCTCTCTCCCCACAGCCGCCCATCCAGGTGTACGGGCTGGAAGGGCGCTATGCCACCGCCCTGTACTCTGCAGCCAGCAAGCAGAAGAAGCTGGAGCAGGTGGAGAAGGAGCTGAGCCGGGTGTGGGTAAGGTGTTCCACAGCCAGAGCTCCCTGGGTGGGGGAGCAGGGGGGTTTCCCCGCTCCTCGGGAGGAAGGTGGGCTTGGCTCCTGCAACCTCTGAGGCTCCCACTCCCAGCCCACTGGTACATGGGCTGCCTGCCCTGTGCCCCAGTGTTTAAATGGGAGATTGGGAAGGAATTGCTGGCTGGGAGGGTGGGGAGGCCCTGGCACAGGTTGCCCAGAGAAGCTGTGGATGCCCCTTGGAAGTGTCCCAGGCCAGGTTGGACGGGGCTTGGAGCAACCTGGGCTGGTGGAAGGTGTCCCTGCCCAGGGCAGGGGGTGGAACTAAGTCCATTCAATCTTTAAGGCCCCTTCCAACCCAAACCATTCCATGATTTTGTAGCAGGAGCTGCCCTTCCACTTCCCCTCAGCTCCAGAGCGTTTCGTTCTCACTCCGTGTTTCCTGCTCTGGCTGGTCCAGGTGGGCCTTGGAATGCCTGGAAAAGTCCTGGGTTTCCTCCCCTAGCTGTGTCTCCCCTCAGACCCTGCTGAAGGACCCCAAGCTGTCCAGCGTGGTGATGAACCCTCACACCAAGAGCACAGTGAAGCAGAAAGCCGTGAGCGACGCCTTGGCGAGGGAGAAGATGTCCCCCATCACTGTCAACCTGATGAGTGAGTGACCCCTCCCGGGCTCCGGGAGGACACCCAGGCGGTGCCACCCGTTTGTCCTGGCTCTGGGCCGCCCAGCCGTGCCCTCAGCCCTCGGGGCTGTGGCTGTTTTGCAGACCTGCTGGCCGAGAACGGGCGCCTGCGCCACACCCCGGACATCGTGGCCGCCTTCGGCAAGATGATGAGCGCGGTGCGAGGGGAGGTGCTGTGCACCGTCACCACGGCTCAGGTGGGCTGGCAGCCTCTGCAGCTTGGGGGGGGAGCAGCAAACCCACCCCTCCAGGATCACCCTGCTCTCTGGGATTGGAGTGTGTGAGCAGGGAGGAAACGGCTCAGCTGAACGTCATTCTGCAAGGAGGCTTTTGGTACCCAGCAGAGACTTGCCAGGAATTAAAGCTGTTCCTCCCGTTTCAGTCTCACAGGTCATGTTTTTCCTTCCTGTGTGTGAAGCCAGGGGGTGGTAAAACAGCCTGGTCTGCACACAGAGCTGCCCCTGGTTCATGAAACAGGGGGAGCACCAAGGAGGTGGCTGTTCCTGTGCTGCCCTTTGGGTGTCCCCGTTTCAGAACACTGCATAATCTACACTCCTGGTACTAGTGTCTGTCTTCCAAAGGAGCTGAGTAGGATATTTGGGCCCTTGTTCTATCATTTGAATATTTTCAAGTCCTTCATTTTCCTTCTTTTGTGCTCCTGTTTTTCAGCCCTTGGATGAGGCCAACCTGACTGAACTAAAAAGTGCTCTGAATGGATTCCTGGCTAAGGGAGAGGTCTTGAAGCTGGAGACCAAGGTCTGGAGTTTGAACTTATAAATCAGTTCCATCAAGTTCATGTTAAGGGCTTAAAAAACGGTCTTAAAGATTTCACTGAACCCCGTTGCTGTTACGTAGTTCTGTGCTTTTTGTAGACATGATGATGCTTTAATTCCTAAATTCCTAACTTTGGAATGCAATGACCACAAAGTTATCTCAGAAAAGCCTCTTGGAAGAGCTTTATTCTTCACTTTGCTAGTGTCAGAGCTGTATCCTAGGCTAAGAAACTTGAGCTCATAGACTTTCTGTTCAATGTTCCCTGTTTAGACTGACCCGTCGATCCTCGGGGGCATGATCGTCAACATCGGGGAAAAGTACGTGGACATGTCAACGAGGTCCAAAATTCAGAAACTCACCAAGATCATGAGAGAGACTGTCTAGAGAGCTGTCCTGGTCATTCCCAAGGAAACCTGGCTGATGGAGACAATAAAATTCTTCCTTCTCGAGCAGACGGTGCCACGTGTTTTGATTTGGGGAAACAGCCCTGAGGGAGGAGGATGCTGAAGCTGTAGTGGAATATCATGTAGTTCTCGCAGAACACTCCATGACAGGGCTTGAAACCCTGGCTCACCCTGAGGGGAGGTGAACTTGGCTGGGAAGGATATGGAAGGAACAAAGTGGGAGCTGATAAAGGGGGTGAGTGCTGCAGAGGGTCTGCCAGGCTCCACAGAAAACTCAGGGGGTTGGTCTGTTCTGACGTGGACCAAGGGAAATGATGACAGGAAATGGCCTGAAGTTCTACCAGGGGAGGTTCACCTCAGATATTAAATCAGATTTTTCACTGCCAGAGTGGTCAGGCCTTGCCATAAGTGTGCATCACCTCCCAGGGAGCTGATGGAGTCACTGTCTCAGGAAGTGTTCCAGAGGTGTCTGGATATATGGACATGGATTAGGGGTAACTGTGGTGGTGCTCGGTGAGGGTTCCCGGGGCTCAGGGCAGCGGCCAGCTAAAAAGAAACAAAATCCTTTCTAAAGGCCTATTTCGTGAGCTCCGAACCCAAACCAGTCCGGGCACAGCAGGGGCTGCAAGGCCACAAGTGCCGGGGCTGCCCCGGGCCGGCTCCGGGCGGTCCCGCTGGCCATGGGGGGCCGGGGGTGGCCCTTTGTGACACGGGCG